AGGAAGGAAGAGAGCACAGGTAGGATGTTGTATAGTTTTAAATAGAGTGGTCAGGGTTGACCTCACTGAGAAAAGGAAACTTTTTTAAAGACCTAAAGAAAATCAGGAAACGAGACATGCGGTTACTTGGAGGAAGAGAATTCCAGCAGAAGCAAAGACTCTGAGGCCATAGCATGCGTGGTCTGTTGAAGGAAGCCAAGGTTGCTAGAGTGGAATAATGGCTGAGAGGATTGCAGGGGACCTGGTAAGATGGTGCAGGGCCTTGCAGGTAAAGTGGGAGCCATGGCGGGGGTCCTGAACTAAGGAGTGACATGATGTAACTCACACTTTGTAAGGATCACTCTGGATGCTATTTTGAGACTAGACTTAAGGGAGTAAGAAGAGAAGCTGGGAGACCATGAGGGTACTGCAGTAATGCAGGAGAGTAATGATGGCTATATTGAACGAGGGGATTGGAGAGAGGTAGTTATGTTATAAATATATACATTATATAAATTTGTACATGAATATATATACTGAATGAAAATATTTCAGTACTTGCTCATAGTAATAGAATGTTGGATAATGAGAAAAAGAATGAAGTTAAGGATGCCACTATGGTTTTGTGGTTGGCACAAATGGAAGGATAGAGGTGACACTTATTGGGATGGGGATACTGTATGGGAAGCATGCTTAGAAGGTTGGAATTTAGACACGTCAAGCTGGAGATGTCTGTCAGACAACCAAGAGGAGATGTCAGGTAAAGAGTGGGATCATTACAACATGGAGTCCAGTGAAGGGATTGGGGTTAGAAACCTCAAAGTAGCCAAAGTATTGAAAACCTTGAGAGGGTTCAACATCTGTATTCATTTTCTGTTGCTGTCACAATAAATCATCACAAACAATAGCTTAACACAACACATATTCATTATCTTGCAGTTCTAGAAGTCAGAAGTCCAGTGTGAGTCTAGTTTGATTAATCTCAAGGTGTCCTAGGCTACTTTCTGGAGGCTCTAGGGGAGAATCCATTTCCTACTCATTCAGGTTGTTGCCAGTTCTTTGCAGTTGTAAGACAGATGTCCTCGTTTTCAGGCTGGTGGTAAAGAGAGGGGCTTTGCCAGCTTCTCAAGGTCACCACATCTCCTTGGCTTATGGCCCTAGCTCCATTTTCAAGGTCAGCAACGGTGGTTTATGTATTTTTCACATGCTACGTATCTCCCTGAACTCCTTTCTTCTGCTTCTTCTCTCACATTTAGGATTTGTGTGATTAGATTGGGCATACTCAGGTACTCCAGAATAATCTCATTTCAAAGTCTCACCTTGATCACATCTGTAAAGTCCCTTTTGCAATATAAAGTAGTCACCTGGTCTAGAAATTTGTACATGGTATAGATAGTAACTGGAGGTGGTCTGGGTCGTCTTGCTTGGAACCCTTGGACATTCCAGAATTAAGAATTAGAGAGATGAGAAAGAAACTGGTAAAGGAATCTAAGAAGCACCCACAGAGTAGGAAGAAACAGTGGCGAGTGGTGAATAAAACTCGAAGACAGATTTTCAAGGAAGGATATGTCACGTGTTGGTGAGATGTCACAGAAGATGAGGACTGACTGCTGGATTTAATGACATTTGGTCAGCCGAACAAGAGCAGCTACCATAGAGCAGTGAGACTAATGTATGGCAGGAGAGATTTCAACACAGAAAAGGATTTCTCTCAGGAAGGTATGCAAATGGTCAATACACACATGAAAAGATATTCAACATTATTAATCATTAGGAAAATGTAAATTAAAGCACAATGAGAAATCACTTCACAAACACTAGGGTGGTTATAATGTAAAAAAGGAATACTAATTAGTGATGGAGAAGATGTGGAGTAATCATCCTCATGCATTGCTGGTGGGAATATAAAATTGGTGCAGCTCCTGTGGAAAGTAGTTTGAGTTCCTCAGAAACTTGCCTGGGCTAAGAAATGGCCAGAGAGTTGACTAAACATGTTTTCTGGGTGTGTCTTTGAGGATGTTTCTGCAAAAGATCGGCATTTGAATTGATGGACTGAGAAAGGCAGATGGCCATCCCCAATGTTGTGGGTGTCATCTAGTCTGTGAGGGCCTGAGTAGAACAACAACATGGCGCAAGGGTGAGTCTGCTGTCTCTGCTTGAGCTGAGTTATCTTCTCCTGCCCTCAGGTGTCAGCACTTACAGGGCCTTGGTTCTCTGGCTTTCAGATTCAGATCAGGACTTGCACCATCATCCCCCTGGTTCTCAGGTCTTCAGACTTGGATTGAATTACCCAACTGGCTTTCTTGGTTCTCCAGATTGTGGGACTCCTCAACCTCCATAACTGTGTACACTTATAATAAATCCTCTCTTATATGTATCTCTATATATCTTATTTTGGAAAAAAAAAAAGAATGGAAAAACAAACACCCCATGTACTCACCAGCAAATTGGCATTAACAGATCAACACCTAAGTGGACATATGAGAGTAACATTTATTGGGTGTCGGGCAGGTGGGAGGGAGGAGGAGGAGATGTATATACACAAACACAACGAGTAAGATGTGCAGCATTTCGGGGATGGACACGCTTGAAGCTCTGACTCGAAGGGGAAGGGGAGGCATGGGCAATACATGTAACCTTAACACTTGTAATCCATAATACACTAAAATAAGTACATAAAAAAACAGGATCTGCATCTCTCACCACTCACAAAAATTATTTCAAGATGGCTAACAGACTTAAATCTAAGATGTGATACCACGTGAATTCTAGAAGAAAATGTTGGAGAAACTCTTGTAGGTATCAGCCTAGGCAAATTATTTTTGAAGAAATCCCCAAGCGCCATAATAGCAACAAGAAAAAGAAGTAAATGATACTTGATTAACTTAAAAAGCTTCTGCACAGCCAAGGAGACAATGAACAGAGCCAATAGAAAACCTCCAGTGTTAGAGGAAATAATAGCATGTTATACATCTGATAAAGGGCATTAATCAGAATCAATCTACAATCAGAATTAATCTACAAAGAACTCAAGCAAATCTATAAGAAAAAAAATCAAACAGCCCCATTAAATGGGGGACTAAAGACATGAACAGAAGCTTTTCAAAAGAAGATAGACTAATGGCCAATAAACATAAGCCAAAATGCTCAATGTC